AATGCAAAGCATATGAATTTTGAAATAAATAGAACAGTAGTTCAGATATTATATATCTAACCCTAACTGGTGTGTTACTTACTTTGCTATCAAAAGATTCAAATACAAATGTTTTCTTTTTTTTTAATGAAACAAAGTATCTGGAACTTTTATAACTCATTAATTCTATAATGCAACTATCATATTTAAAAGAGTATGAATTTAATTTGTTAAGTTTCATCATTGTAAAAAAGGATCATTCCTGAGAGGACAGCAGTATTCTGCTGCATGTTTTAAAAAATACTCTAGAATAAAATTTGAAAGACTATACCATATTGTATGTAAGTTATTCCAATACTTTCAATCTTTAATTTCCACAGTCTGTTTCTACTAAAGTAATAGACATTTCAAAATAAATTCACAAAGATGCAGCTCTATCCATTCTTTGAAAATGATTAAAGAGGATAGTAGATTTAGGTAACAAGTTACTTTTTCAAGTATTGCCCTCTATGGAAAATTCTAGTCAAAAAGAAGCAAGATATTCTTTTAAAAATATATAACATGTAAAGTTTTCAGTTAAACATGATGAAAACTATATTATTTTGAATACTATTGAAATGCTGAAGCAAGAGAAATGCAAATAGAATTAAGTGATGACTAAAATGTAAAGTGTCAATGTAGATTTCAAAGGCTTCATAGCTACTCAATAGGATATCAAAAGTAAATGTTGTAACTAATTTATTCTTTTTAATCTCTCTTTTCTGTTTATTAAAAAAAGACTAAGAAGATTTTGATATAATTATAATGTATTTAGATAAGAGCACTTTCATTTACTATATATAACTATTAATGTATGTATGTTTAGGTACATTACTGTGATCAAAAATGAACTCATTAAAAAATACAGTTCTAAAGAAAAACAGCTTATATAGTGAATGTCCACTGATTTAACAGTTCATTTCAGGAGAATTTGGCAAAAACCTCATTAATCTAAATAATCACTCAAAAACTTGTCTTTCTGTCTTTCCATTTTATTTCAAAGAATTAAAATCTTATTTTCCATTATATTTTATGGCACCTTTCCAATAACAAATTGTGTAACATGAAAATTCCTTTTTGATATCATCTCATGTCACTTATTATAAAATATGTTTTAGACTTTGATAATTTTATATTGATGGAAATAGATTGTATGAGAGTCTTTTGCATTGACATAACTTCACTAATATATGCTGATGTTAGTAAATGTGAATTGACTACTAACAAATATGTTATTTTAGTGTCTTGTCTTGGTTCCATTTTAATGGCTAATATTTGCTGTCTTACCTAACAAATTATTTCTGAGCTTTATCATACTTTGAAAATATTGAACAAAATTAGGTCCTTAGAAATTCCTAATGGACCTGGTTCACTCATCACTGAGGAAAAAAATCAAATTTTTCTGATAAGTAGTAGTAATCCTCCAAATGAAATGACACATCCATCCAATAAGTACAGGGTTTAAATACACAAAAAGAAAAGAAATCTGAGTAACAAAATTTGCTGCTCCTCATTTTCGAACGGCTACCCACAAAAAGGGAAGAAGGGTCAAAGGTAAAAAGTGATGGGTAACGTTGTCACAATAAGCTCTTGTTTAGAATTCTTATTTTCTTTTATGTACAAATAGGTTTGTGTTTCATGTTTTTTTAAAAAAAACTTATAAATAAAAGATTTAATCTTCACATCCATTTATTTCTTAAATGTGGAAACATTAAGTATTCCTGTTTGTACAATAATGTCTAAATACCTACTCTTGTCTGAAAAGTTGTATAATGTTTGCCTAACTAGACAGAGCATATCTTTGACTCTTTGAGGACTTTAATATTAGAGTACTTCCCATTAAGAGGAACACAGAGGCAGATACAGGAACACCATCTTATTTCCTTCTCGAATACTGTTGACACATTTGAAATACTGGAGTTCCAGTTTCATTTTGCGGCATTTAGCTCCATCTCCTCTTTTCTCCATAATTACTCTTTCTGCTCTGGTGTAGCCCTCATCGTCCTCTCAGGATAATGCAAACCCTTCCTAATAGTAGTAAGCTGTGCTCCCAGTTTCAGTCTTCCAATCCATCCATCCTCCATGTCACTGCCAGAGAGATATTCAAAAATACAGCTCTGATATGTTATTTTCCTCCTATTCAGGTTTTTTTCCTTTCAACAACTCCTTATTTTTTATATGCTAAAATCCAGCAAATAAACCACATCACAAGCTGACTTCTGCCCACCCTTTCAGTGTCCCTTCTGCCACTACTCACATTCCTGCCGTGCTGAACGCCTTGTTCTAGAACAGACTGTGTTCTTTCCTATTTTCATTACTTTGTGTTACTGTTCCCTTGCTCTAGATAGAATGCCATCCTTAACCTCCGCTGAGTTTTGTCTTGCTACCCATAATTCAGAGCAGGGACTCAGAAGCCAGACTTACTAGGTTTGAGTTGCAGCTCCCTTATTTGCAAGCTGTGTGATCACAGGCAAAATCACTTAATCTCACTGTTTTCTGGTTTCTTCAACTATAAAATAGGGATAACAGTAGAACCTGACAGAGGTATTGAGAGGATTAAATGAGATATCATATGTAAAGCACCTAGAACGTTTGTATGTATTCTCCTCCTCCTCTTCCTAAGTAATTATCTCTTCTGAGCCATCTTCCCTGATGACATCAGGAGGGGTCTGGTGCCTCTTCTCTTTGGTCCTGCATCATCCTATATATTCCTTTCCATACATTACATTATTCAGTATTTGTCTAGGTTCTACCCTGAAATCAATCTATTTGGCTAGGATGTAAAGGAACTTTGAGACAGAAGTGTTATTACTCAAAGCAGATCATAAGTATGTTACCACAGATGAAGAGCTGTAGTTACAACTGAGAAGGAATGGGGACCATCAAATCTGAGGATTTGGGAGATTGTGACTACAGGTTAGAAGTGATTGGAGCTGGGGGAGAATAGAGCAAGACAGGATGAGATGTACTGTAGGACTGGGTGTATAACAATGGCAATCTTTTAGAAAGGGTTCTGGGAACATGCCTTTGGGTACGAGTCACA